TAGACTTATATGAACAAAGTTGAATCTGTATAACGACGTTCCCATTCTGGCTGGCTAGCTGGACAGCTGACATTGCATTGTTATTCGGAGAAATGCGTAGGTCAACGTTTAAATTGTTTCCATTATTTATCGTAATGAAATCAATGATTATGTAAAAAGTTCGTTGGAATTTCTATTTATTCGACATCGAAATAAAAAAGCGAAAGTTGTCGGTTTAAATTGGAGCATTTTTTTCCTTCGCACAGTCAATGTGTATTTATTTGGCCCATTTTTTGTCATATTTTAAAATCAAATGTAATTTCTTCAACAAGCAATGCCATGGGTCATGCTTGGAATTGTGTTGATGCGTGTTCGCTGCTTTAAACCAAACAAAAAGCGATTATACATTTGACGAATATGTCTTGGCATTGGTTTGGTATTTGAGCATTTGTATAATTTGGCTGAGCGATTGAGTTGTTTTTTGTGTGACTTTTCCATTGCTCGCTCGGTCACATTGCAAAAAAGCCAAATTGTCTCTTTGTGATTGTCATTGTAAAAAATTTATGCAAAGTAATCCATTGAGAACTTTTGTTCGTTTTAATTTCATTCTGGGTGGTTTTTTGTATCTATCTGTATGTCCATTAATGCCAAATAAAGATATTTTTGCGTATATTTGGGTCGTAAAGTGTACTCAAATACGGGAAGCAACGACTCGGAAAAGTGAACGCATTTAATTTTTTCCTCTCATTCTTCATCATATTTTCTCTTTTGTATTTATTCTTTTGCTCAGTACACCTCACTCCATCGTTTGTTCCCTCTCTTTATCTGTTTTTTTAAAGCAAACTACGACCAGTTATCCCATTCAAGTGGTGTTTGGTTTAACGTCTCTTTTTTCTCACTCATAACTCGAATATGATTCCAATTTAAGAGACGGGTAAAGATGCTAGTAAAAGAAGGAAATGAAACAAAGTTTCGTTGCAAACTATGGCAAATGAAGTGAACACCAAATGAACGTACTCATAATGTTTTCTTTTCGCTTAATGCTCCCAGAAAACATATGCAACAAGTATATATGACGTGCAAAACCATATCGTGAAGCAAACACACAGACATTTGGTTCCGTTAGATTTAAATGCTCTCGAAGGATTTTATGGAATTGACTTTTTCTTGGTATATTTCTGCACACTGGGTCTTTGTTTTGTTGTCAGTTCTCGTTTATCATGACCAAAGAGAATTGTCGTTGGTTCTCGAATTAAAGGATTTCCGTTTCATGCCACACATATTTCCTTTCATTTTTCTGTTTGTATGTCACATTAGATCGGTTACTTAAGATGCGATGTAGGCGTAAAAATATCATTTTTCTCTGACTCTCTTCTTATTTCATTCATTTTACTTACACTCATGTGGCCAACACAACCGAAGTGTAAATAACGTTTGATCGGTTGGTTTTCCCTCATGTACAACAACATGCGCTTATTCCTTTACGCTTGCCATTTCATTCAATTTCATTGTAACGAAAAACAACTTTAGCTATCAAATTGTAATAATCATAACTGAATTGGCAACATTTTCACTTTCGATTCGACCAAACACACTCACTCGTTCTATGCCATTATGAATGAATACATTCGTTTCTCGCACTTTAAGTGGTCTTCCGTGAACGATTCTGTTCTCCAATTGGGATCATTAATATATAAAATGTTACGTCCGAAATATAAGCGGGTGAAGATTAGTCAGTGTCAGTGTCAGTGGAGCAGTCGATATAATCTTTCAAAATATAAATGTTTCATTATGTGTTCAGTTATTCGTTCGTTCGGATGAAGAAAACGAAAGAAATATAGAGAGAGAAAGAGAGGGAGAGCAGCTATAAAAATACTTGTCTTTAGCAAATGAAATTGTATTAACATTGCTTTAATTCAGCGAAGTGATAAGAAACGTGCACTTCAACTTTTCCACTTTGATAACTGCTCATTTTTGATACATTTACGTATATCTACGTTATGGCATTTGAATTTTTATCTCTCTTTTTCCAATTTTATTCAACATTAATGTGCTGAGTCGTATGTGAAGTATGTATTGAATGAATTCAAACCGCCCACTCTGCAATCCAAGTGTTCGAATATTTTCAGTATTTTCTTCTCTTGTCAACTTCTTTTTCACTTTTTGATTTGATTCTCACACGTTCGCTCACTCAAACCGTCAGACACAGCTGACAACCAATGTTTGCCACTACGAATATGAACGTGTTTCCATTTTTTTTTTTTTTTTTTTTTTTTTTGTAAGAAAAAGAAAAAGGGAAGGCCGCTTGTCATCACCAAATGAAAAAAAATATGATTACACGAAATAATGTCTATATATTTTCAGTTTGGTTGTTTTGTTTTGAAAATTAAATTTTGGCACACTGGATGATTTAATTTAGGATGTAAAATTGACGCTTTCTCAGTCTGTTACGATCAACATCATTAAAATGACTGAATTTTGGGTGTGTGCGTGTGTGTGTGTGTGTGTGCATACAAATAGACGTGCATACTCAAAGTCGGCAAAAATTACATTTTCATTTGTCGAATGTTCAGCGTCTTAAAAATACATAAAATTGTTCACTTTCCATCTGACAATTCGTTCTATTATTCCGATGGCATTTCTTGATACGAACGAATTTATTTCGCCCATTGAACAATTCCATGCAAATCGGTGTCTATTAAATTAGGCCGAAAGACAAATTTTAAAATGCGATTATGCGAATAATTTTAAACACCATGCTCAAGTTTGAAGACGGAATACTTGATCTTTGGCTGATTTTCACAAACCGTTCGCATTTCGATAAGATAAACTCCATTTATGAAGCTTTCATTATTGAAAGAGCAACAGTTCTGATTGCTTGTCTTTGTTTTGATTTACATTTCATTTTCAGAATACTTAACGCACGCGCTTACGTGCATAGAGAAAGGAAGAGAGTGATAGTGAGAAGAGGAATACATTCAAATTTTATACTAACAATGGATATAATCATCGAGAGAGAAAAGAAAAAGAAATATCAAACACAATTTGTAGATGCCAATAAGTATTGAATAAATTGCATGTTGTCCTTCCATTTGTTAGATGATGAAACAATACATTTCGTTTCTGTATAAATGTGTGCGTTTGTGCCGTTTGTCATGCCATTTCAAAAGAATCTCGATTTGAGTATTCATATTAAATTGGTTGATAAATGAGACGCAGATTCTACTTTTGTACTTTTCCGTCGCCATTATCTAAATGATACAACAACGCTTTGGCACAAATCTCTCTCTCTCTCTCGCTCTCTTTTCGAACTCGTCAAATGTGAAATAAAAGTTTCATTGAAATATCTGAAATGCCCTCTTCTTTGGTGGCTCAATCGATTTGGCGCAATCGATGACGAATCTTTTTCGCTCCACTTTTTATTTATCATTTTATTAACAAAATAGATTCAATTGGATCTCGCTGATGGTAGAACGATGGTAGTTTGTTTCCCAATTGGAATTTTCTAACTTTATGATCGAACGTTCAATAAATGAGGACCAAAACAACTTATCGGCAGACATCACACACACACACAAATACAAAAAAAAAAACCAAACAAACATGAATTGAACTTTACTGCCAATATGACCATGGCAATCGTGTTATTCGTTGTTTCACTTATTATGACGATTTAGTATTTGCCATTGGGTGTTCTTCTTCTTGTTGTTGTTATTTTTGTTGTTGATGGCACATCGACAAGTTTTGTGCTCGCATAATGATTACGTGCTTCTCACTCTTTTTATTCCAGCTCTTCTCCATGTATATCTGTTGATACATATTTTATGAAAAAAAAAAAAACAATATCGCCATTGCGACCACACATTCTTAAAGCAATTGCCAACCGTACGTGAGCCATTTTATATTTTCAATGTTACAAACAACAATGTTGTACACAAAAAATTGTTGTGCATTGTGTACGCGATTTGCTTCTTTTCCATGAAATCTATCGACATTTTATTGATCGACAAAATGCATACACATACCTTTTTGTCTACGTGTGCTCTTTTCTCTCGCTATTCTAACGAGATCAGGAAATGGAAATAAAAAAGTTCGTTATATGTGTCTACTGTCTATATAAAATTGAAAAAAAAAACGCTTCGATTGAGTGGAAATACAATCAAACTAAAATTATCGAGATTTTTCACACATAATACATGAATGCTCTGAATCCATAGAATTTAATTGGTTGCAATTTTGTTACTGCTTTTTGTGTAAATTCATACCAAGGTTGGTAGGCAAACCAATTTGATTTATTGCACTGTTATAACTTTTATTCGGAATGGAGAAATGTACATTTCCTAATTTTAACTTTTATAGTATTCTACGGAATAAAAATGTAATCTCCGTATAGAAAATTGGCATTTGCTTATTTACTCGAAACCATACGTTATATCCACTCGAAAAATATGTTCATAGAATTCTTTGCACTATATTTCACTGAGGTGGAAGGAACAAAAAACTTTATCTAATTAAAGTGAAATTGCAACGATACCGATTTCGAAGTGGTCCAGGTCACACCTTTTGCATGAATGCGACTTTGATTATTTACAGAAATACAAATTTCTTCTTATACATCAATTTCATTGAGCCAATGATAGCCGCGTGTTCATTTGATTTTAAAATCGTGTAATATTCTGGCCAGCATAAACTAATTTGAATAAAAAAAAAAACAAATAAAAACTTTTGATGCTCATGATTTGCGCGAAAATTGCATTTCTTTGACATTTAAATTAGTTTGAAAACTGTTGATTCAATGAATAAGGCAAAGGAACAAAAATAGGCGGAAAAAAAGGAACACAACGATAACATCGTTAAAGTTTCTGTACAATGTTCATTTCAGGTAGTGACGTGAATGGTTATTTTCAGTATTATGAGACATTTTTTCTCGTCTCGAATTGAGTTATTATGACTATGATTAATAATAAATAAGTAAAATACACTTTTTAGAGCCTTTATTTTCTTTTCTTTTTCTTTCGTAGGTAAAACGTAATAATCCATTGTCCTGCGCGCACAAACAAACACATACACACACACGATGTTGCTGTGGAGTTATTGTTAAATAGCAAAAATGATTAGACGCTTAAAATACAACAGTGAACATTTAATTTGTAAAATTTCATAATCGGTTTGTCGATTGTGTCAAGTGACAATTGCTGGTAAAATACCGTCCGTACTGTGTGTATGTGTGTTGGTTTGTTGGATAGACCGAGAGCTAAATTGATCGTTAAACACCGAAATTCAGGCGTTTTGTGTGCGGTCGAGTGAAGAATAAGCGCCCGTTCAACATCACATAGATTGTGCAGTTGTGATGTGGTCATGGACTAGAACACTGTGAAAGGTGGAAAAGAAAAGTGAAGAGAAGTGAAGGATCATTTCATTTACATATGGTTGACGAAATGCCTGTGCTGCTAGCATTTACAGATCTGGTGCCTTATTCGTCATCTTCAACCGATGCAAACGAATCAGCGTTATATGTTACATCACCAACCACAACCGCTGCCATTGTCGAAGACCGATGGTTTCTATTGACCATTATATGCATAAAAACCATCATTTTTGGTACAATAATCATTGGGGCCGTATTGGGCAATGCGCTGGTCATTATTTCGGTTCAACGAAATCGTAAATTACGCGTTATCACAAATTATTTCGTTGTGTCGCTGGCAATGGCCGATATGCTGGTCGCATTGTGTGCCATGTCATTTAATGCAGTGCACAATTTACATGGCAAATGGATATTCGGTCAATTTATGTGCCGAATGTATAACAGTCTCGATGTATACTTTTCAACTGCCAGCATTTTACATCTGTGTTGTATATCGGTCGATCGGTAAGTCTTTTTTTTGTTTTTGACGTATTCAATATTTTCACAAAATGATTAACCGCTTCCATGTTATACGTATTTGGCCGGAATCTTTGTTCGTCGTTTTTTTTTTTGAGTTCTTGTGTAAGTCTATATGTTGTTTGACCTAGTCGTATTATTAATGGGAGCCAACAAAATGATCTACAAAGCGGGGGAAGAAAACCCAGTTCGCATTTTACATGAGCTTTGAACAATCTCTATGCATGACAAATTTGTATTGAATACCATATGACTATGTGAATTTTTCAATCAATTAGCAAGTGCAGCTCTCTTTGAATATGTTGGCTCGGTTTTGTGGCAAATTTTTTTTGCTTTCCTTTTCGTTCTTCATTTTTTTTTTTGTTTATTTTACTCAAGTACATATTTTCTCGAATATGTGCTATGTACATGGTCATATTTATAAAACGAACAAAAAAGATGTAATAGAGAGATGCATCGAACATTTTTCAAATAGAAGAAAATGTGCGCAAAAACGCTACAAAATCCAATCATGGTTGATGTTGTATGGCAAATAGATATAAAAGTAGACAAAAAATATATATTGAAAATGCATCTAACTGAGCTATTTTTTTTTCGTTCGGGAAAATGGGGACAAAACACATGTAAACATATTTTTGCTCAATATATATAATCTATGTTTTCTGGTCGATAATATGAACAAGAAACCAACAATAGAGCTACCTGAAACTAGTGAAAAACATTTTCGTTTACCCTTTAATTGGATATAATGGAAAATGAAGAATCTACCATATGCTGGCCCAATTACTTACTTATAAAAAAAACAACTCAATTATATTGAATCATCAGATTTCGGCCAAATGCTATTTTATGTTTGTATTTATTTCGTGAAGAAAAGCGCTCTGAGGAACTGGTGGAGCCCAGGTGAGGGGAAAAATACTAAAAGTTAACAAAATTATCTTAAATCATAATATCATATTTATTAATATATATTATTAATTTTAACTTTTAATGTTTTGCTCCTCACCTGGAAAGAGATGTGCCACTTCTTCTCATACATATCGCACTGAGAAACAGTTCTTACCAGCATCTAATCACAACAATTTCAATAATTACTCTTCAATAACATTGTTTTTTCTCTCTCTCTCTCTTTCATCTCTTTCAATCAATTAAACCCAAGGTTTGTTTGCATAGTCAGGCCGCTTGAATATTCACTTTATATGACACATCGAACGGTATTCTTTATGTTAGCAAATGTATGGACGCTGCCGGCTCTGATATCATTTACACCAATATTTCTGGGCTGGTACACAACAAACGATGCGCTAAAATACCAAGCTGAACACAGCGATGACTGTATTTTCGTTGCAAATAAAACGTATGCAATAATTTCGAGTTCGATTAGTTTTTGGATACCTGGACTTGTGATGATTACAATGTACTGCCGCATTTACAGGTAATATGAAAGCCGAAGCAATTTCAATTTTCACAATTTATAGATTCTATATGTTAATATTAAAAATAATCTGACATTACACCCAGTTTACATTTTGGATAAAATAATATCGTCGGAAATTGGATTTTGTTGAAGCAATGTGGTGCACGGTGACAATGTGTTGGTCATTTTAGGAACACATACCATGAGCATGAAAAAAGATAGCGTTTATTTTCTCAATTACAAACATAATCTTCTGAAATGTTTATTTTTAATTTAAAAAAAAGTAAAACGGCATCGAAATTGAAAATCTTATTTGCTTTTAATATTCTATAGAAATAGAAATTTGATAAAAACGTCTGTCTCGTTTTGTCTCGTGCTGAAAACGATTTCATTTTTAATGTGTTTTGTCATATTTTATTACACTAATTGAAAGGAAATGTTGATATTTTGTCGTTCTGAAAACAGTATGGTATGGCGTTTGCAATAAATTGTTTCAGACAGTCTCTTAATCGTGTGTGCTTTTTGCGCTGTTAATTTCATTTTAACTGTTACCATTTTTTCTACCTGATGACCGTTTAGCACAATGAAAATATCATTTCACCTGGTGTGTAACATATACAATATAAAAAACAGTCACTTTTCCGCATTGAGTACTCCAAAATCACAAAAAAAACTCTAATTAACCTTTGGATTTGACTTCATTCTAGAGTTGAAACAAAAACGAATTTCATTTGAAAATATATTCACTCAGTCAGCAATCTCGAATGAGAAATGGTTTTGGTGCGATCTTTTCAATTGATACAATACATAAAATAATGGCTCGTTAAAAAAACAAAAGAATTTCTCTTATAAATTGAAACTCATTTATTCAGCTCATATGAAATATATCCAAAGATGCTACATATTAAGAAAGCAAACGAATAAAAATGAGAAGCCAACTAAACAAAGTTTTCTTTCATACACACATTGTGTGCTTTTTCATCGTCTATTTTTTTTTACTTCGTATTATTCTTTTCATTTTGACATTTTCTTTTGTTTCGAACCGGATTACACCAATAACTGTAAATCGACCGTAATTAATAGAAAACTGCTTCAGTATTGTTTCATTTGCACGCACTAAATCGCACATACTCACACATTCGTTGCTTTTGTTGTTTTTTGACGCTTGAAGGCATTTCGAAGTATGGCAAGCGATATAGAGAAAGAGGACGGCAGGAGAGGGGGAGGGGAGATGGAAATAATAGAAAAACTTTTGCCAAGTAATTACGCTCAACTTATCGAACACGAAATGCGATTAAGTGCACCCAATTCACAGAGCAAAGCTACCATCTCTTGCGTGTAATTCAAGAGGACTAAGGAAGGCAAACAAAATTAACGAAAGAATACACATGTGTTTGTGCATCTCGATTTCTTGATATATCAAGGCTATATATGGCCTACCTTTTTTCGGTTATTATAGGCTGAAATGAACACATTTTAAGTGTTCAGTGTTTTCCCAATTCACATTGAGATAAATCTAATTTTTGATAATTATATCGTGTTTTGTTATACTGGAAGAAACAGTCATAATCATTGTGCCAGTCACACATACACACCGCATGAAAAATTGCTAACGCCAATCCAATCCACTTGGACTGTACAGCAGCAATGACAACGCCAACAAAATGATATTCTATTTTTGTTCATGGAATCTAAACGCAGACAAATCAGAGACATTGATAGCCAAATATAGCAATACATATAACAAAAACAATGCAGAGAGTCATGCGAATTTACATTTACTCTGGCTATTTGTTCAAATCGCGTTCATTTATTTATTTCGGTAATGTGCATGACAATAAAAACACTTGGCTCGGAAAGCTTTATTACAACATGGTCGAAGGGAAATGAAATAATACAAAACTGAATGAATTTAACTGTGCTTGGTTCTGTGCGACTCAAACGAATCAAATAAGGTTGATGGACGAGAAAAAAAAAGTGAAAAAAGAAACAATACACAAATATTCTATGTTATGTTCGGAAGTATAATTATAAATGAAACGAAAAGAAATGTGGTAGATGCAAATTATCAAGAAACAAAAAAAAAATCGCAAAATATATCGCCCAACAACAAACATAAGCGAAACGTGCTACACATAAAAAGTTAAATTAACAGAAGCTAATTTGTTCGATCTACATACACTTAACTTCAATAACAAGAATAAATATTTTATTAGCAAACATCTTTTGGGTGGTAAATCGAATGGACGGAAAAATCTCTATTTAAGTCAATTTCTCTCTCTCTCTTTCTCTTGCGCTGTCTCATCAATGTATACATTCGTGCCAAACAAAGTAAAGCAACGCAAAGCCAAGCATACTTCTAAGCTCAAGTATCTCAACCACTACGATATCAAGTATATAAACAATTTGGGTATGCTCATTCGTTCCGTTCATTTTCTTTAGTCGGTCGTGAATGGAATAAACGAAAGACAGACAACACGCAATGTATTTCCCGCACCGACTACAACAATACACAAAGTATACACATTCGCACCAAAAATACCTCGAACTCACTTTTTGGTGTGGCCAACGACACACTTACAAATTGTTGTGCTAAAAATATTTGCCAAGCATTTTACTTTATGGTTCGTGTGCAATAAGATATGTATTCACTTCATTTCTCATCAAACTTGGACCAATTTATGGCTTTGAATCTATTTAGTGAACTTGCCGGATATTTCTTATTCAATCAAAATACGTTCTTGTCAATTGTTGGCATGTTTTTCTTTCATTTCTCCTCTTTATCCTGATGCTGTTGTCGTGGTCGTTATGGTTTGAATTTACCAAAAAATGTTAAGATGAAGATTTGAGCTGTAGACCTTGTTGCTGTGTAACCAGAATACTTTTGGTCTTGATGGAAAATAATTTATGTATATACTATGTTCATGAAATGGCACTCAATAAACCGTACAGTTGAATTGCTTATGATTTGCGTCCGTCGATTTCATGGCTTCATGACGGGCTCAATGATAACAACATTGGATACATGATTGCTTATCGTGACTCGATTTGGCTGCATATGATTAAATGGCATTCGAGAGAATACCCACGAACAATGAAGAATGGAAGGGGGAACAAAATTATGAGAGAGATAAAATTTTGGTGCTATGTAATATGAGACGGATTGAGAGCCACTCATTTATGAATCGCTAAATGCATGGAACCACAACATGAATGTTAACTATTCGAATCCATTCAATTTCACTCTTGATTCCATTCAATGTGCTCATCAATACACGTTATTATTCAAACACTTTGCGAGACGTACACAAACAATTATTATGTAGAATAAATTTATAGCGATAAACATTTTCATTTCCTTAGATTTGCTTTTCACACACCACTCACTCACTATTGCCCTTCCTCTTCCCGGTGCGTTTTATCATCCGAATTTTATCTCACCTCATCAGTGTGCATATTATGCATTGGATGAAACAGGAAATTTTCTGTACGGAATCAATGAAAGTGCGCTCGCAAAGACTGTCAAACATACTTATACATACATAAAATATGTATTTTGTTTGTCTGAACATATAAACAATGTACAGAGCGTACACAATGTGTAATAATGTAATGGATACGACACGACTGTTTCGAAAGCTTATTTCCCCTCTCCCATTCCGTTAGCCTTTTGAAGCATACACTTCAGCAGCACTTGTATTTAATGCACCGTACTCACAATACCAAAAAATTCTCGATGCTAAAAGAATAAATTGTTATTTTTATCGAAAAACACATATTGTAAGCTGTTGTTTGTTTTCTACGCTTCCTGTCTGACAACACGTTAATAAGTCATGCATATCGCTTTGCAGTGTTTTATCGTCTTTGCATTAGCCTCGCATATGCTTTTTTATTTCATGTGACGTGTTTTTTGTCTATTTTTCGATTTGCCATCCATTAATAGTACAATTTTAAATTTAGATACGTGTTATAAGCAGTGCCACGTACACAACATTTGGCTCGATGGTAAATGAAGTGAAAACTGAACCAAATTCGTTCGTTTTCCATTCGAAAATGCTTTTCCAGAATTTAAATCAACTAGATGCTCATCTGAGCACTGAATATAACCCATCACACACGATACCAATCAAATGAACAACGTCATAAATAAATTACGGTCGAATACATACATCGTACTGAGTGAAGTGTAATTTCGGATAGAGTTTTCGAAAAGAAAGTTTGATGTACTCATTTTGTGTTTATACTACTACTTAGGTAGGTAGTATTGCTTAGAAGATGAAAACATCTGTGGCATATATTGTCATTTAATTTCAAATATACACACACACTGTGTCAGACTCTTCCGATTTTTTTTTTCATTTACATTTATTCAAAGAAAAGCGATCGAAGTGCTTATGTCCACCACTACTGCCAAATTGTTGTAGTTTGGAATTTACCTTAATGTGTGGCATTTTCCGGTAATCGATGGGAGCAGTAATTCGCTGATAATGATTAAATTCGTTCATGTGGTGACTTCAGTATGATTGTAGCATGTGTTAATTATTCGTTGTGGTTTTATATGAGATTAACAGCACTGTCAGCACCATTTGAAATAATATTTACTAAATTATATGTAGATTCAATTCGGTCTCAGTTTTACATGCGTGAACTTGTGCACACTATAAAATGAGAAAAGATAGTCGGATCCAAATAGAGAACGGAAGAGTGTTCAGATTTATTGAAACATCAAACTGAAAAATGAGCAGCTTTTACATACAATGTTCAATGTTGGATGTACACACAGTACCTTGTCGATTTAACGAACGACGTATATATTTTATGTATACATATACACGGTGCACATATAGACGAGAGCTTTTTAAGAGATACGAATTGAGCGTATGAAGTTCATTCAAATTGAAAACATTTTATTGCTCGAACCGGTATGATTAAATCGGATTATGCATTTCATATCTTGTGGAATATACAAAATATATATTACATGTTACATATGAATGGGTCAAAATAAAAATCCGACTTGTACGCAGAGTCTATAAAAGTGGAACATGGAGTTTTTTTTTACATAGTTTATTTGTTGTAATACAACAACAATTCTATGTAAAAAAAAAACGCTGTGTTCCACTTTTATGGACTCTGCGTACAAGTCGGATTTTTATTCTGACCCATTCGTATCTCCTTTTACTTCCTTAGATTAAATTATCTCTTGTATATTTTTTTACTCAACATTCAATTGTATATCTTTTGCTTTTGTGCTGCTGATGTTGCTGTCCATTGACATTACCGACAATTTTCCAAAAAAAAAAAACAACATATGTGGATTGGTCGATTGTGCTGGGCATACTCTACAGGGAAGCGGTACGTCAGCGAAAAGCGCTGAGTCGAACGAGTTCGAATATCCTTTTGAATAGCGTTCAAATGGGTCACAATGCACATAATTTCAACCAATATCATCACATTAACTATAATCATCCCAGCGATTGTGACCTAAATTCAAAGCTTAAGGATCTAAAAGAAGAGAGCAGTCAGCATTCGTTCAGCAACATTGAGGTAATCCAATTTGCCGATTATTTTCATGCTAGTTCATTATTATTATTTTTGTATGCATTTCGATCGCATTAAATTTTTTCGGACAAAACTATAAAAATTTCATGGACTTAAATTAAATTAAGTTGAATTGATATCTTCGAATCGAATTTAAAGTAAATTGATACAATAACAGCTTAAAATTATAACTTATATGTTCTTAGTTCGGTCTAAATATACTGAAAATGAAATTCATGCTTAGTATTCTTATCGAAAGATGGTTATATTCAATTAATTTTTTGAATTAGGTTCAACTGGTCGAGAGTATGACGGTCGATGATGGTGATGCGGATATTTTGCGGGTACCATCGCCACCACAACGACGATTAAGTCGAAGCAGCATCGATTTACGAGATTTGGAACAACAACAATTACAACCCCACGACCGTGTTGCGCACACAGATAGTGCACCATCAATGATTGCATTGGAAAATTTTTATTTAAAGGATGGCAACAAAAATAAATCGGAGAATCATTTCCAGCCGCTTATTTCGAAAAAAAAATTCTTAGACAAACCATTGGAATGCTTTCACACCCAACCAAATAACAAACCGACAAATGCCATTGATACGTTAACCATTGAAAGTGATAATGAAGATCTTGCACGTTTTATCGAAGATAATTATCAATATTTTAAAAAACAAAATGGCGGCACCGATTTCACATCATCCACGTCGCCGGCAATGGCGGGCATTACAAACAAAACAATCGAACAAACAAATCGAAATTTGCAGCTACAAGCATGCAGCGATCCCGATTTTCTAACATTGAAAAATAACATCGATTGTTGTGAATCATGTATCGGTGGTGTGAATGCGATAAATGCATGTGAAAAGAAAATCAAGAGTAAAAAGCATAAAATGTCAGCGCTCAGTGACTCTGATTTCATTGTATCGTTTGGCAATAGATCAAAACGATTTACATTGAAATCGAAAATTCCCTTCAAGACTATTCTCAATGGAAAATTTCCCAAGATTAATCATAACAAATACAATTCATTGGAGCAACCATCAACGGCGGCAACGGTGCTAACGCTTTCAACAGCAACAACCCCAACACCGACAATGACGACCAATCCAATGAATTCAACCAGTTCAACATTAATTACCGCTAATCTCCAACACGATTTGGCCCAAACAAATAAAAAATACGCTCACAAAGGACTTAACAATCACTTATCACAATCGTTAAATGGCTGTTATCTCAGCAGCAAAAAGTATGACCAAGCAAACCAATCAAAGTCCATTCAACGTGTTCTAAGCGAGGGCAATGAAACGCCCGCCACACACACCGCCGACCAACAATCACCATCCAATTATAGTCAATCACATCAGACGAGACAGCGATTCCATCAATCTCACGATGCCTTTGACATGTTTGTGAAATTGTTTCAGTGCGAAAAAAATAATAAAAATATGTGCGATCGGCAATCGACGAGCAATAAATTTAATTACAAAATTGTGGTTAACTCCAAGGAATTCGACTATTGCGATAGTATTTTGGGTAATTATTCGCCAAATGCAATTGTAAATGTTAACCAAAATGCAATCATGACCGCTGACAGTGTGGACAAAGTCAATGTGTCAACGAAAGACGAGGGTATAAAATCGAAATCGGATTGGCCAATTGATGCTGTGTCCACTTCAAGCATTTGTGATGGTCAAAAACTTATCATGAATCATCCGTATGAAGAGCATGTTCTATACAATCTAAATGCCGACGTTGGTTTGCACACCGGTCACGTTTTGGTAAATAATTTAGTAATTACATCGCCGCCAGTAACACCAAAACAATTGCTTAGCCCAAAAACGATAAACAAAGAGCAAACGGTTGCTCATTCGCCGGTACAAAATTATTTTTCATATTCGCAAAATCATCTCAGTCCGCATATGATAAATGCGTCGGACACAACTAGCATGTCAATGGAAATGATTGCAAATAATAATTCACCGCTCGAGCATTTAGTTAGCATTCGAACCGATTCCGATATTATAATGGTGCATGATTTAAAAGTGAACGAAATTGGTAGCGGAAATCTACGTTCATCCAATTCAACGCTCAATAATGGCAATGCAGCCGGCGAACAAAATTTTATCAAAAACGATTTAGCGTTAATCAATTCAAGGACGAAATGTGATAAAAATAATAGTTGTGCAACGGGTAATATGGGCAGCGGTCGCATTCGTAAACCATCCGTTACATACGACATCAATGTTATCAATAAATCACAAGATTTTAATATCGACGACATTTGCCCGCAGCGAAGCAGCTATGCCGCACGATCTGGATCAACAACATCAACAAGTAAGTGTGAATTGCATTGAACATTCTATTGCTTGTGGCTCAATGTTTTTTTTTTTTTTGTTTTCTTCTCCTTCTTATTGGAATCTGGCCGATCGCATTTGTTCGCAATATGCTCTTCACGTAAATTAGACATGAAATGAACAAGCATTATTGTGATCACGTACGATTCGGTTTGATTTATGATATGTGTTTTAATGCATTATTACTACCTTCAGGTGCAATTCCATGTGTGTTTGCGATAGTTAGCGCTAAAAGTGAAATAAAAACGATAAAATAATCATTGGAATTTACAAAATTAATAAAAACAAAACAAAAGTCAGTCGATCGATAAAATCTAGTTAATCGCAACAGCACACACTATTTATGACTTATCTCGATCAATTTTAGATTGTTTTTGATTTTTATTATTTTTTAGAATTCAAATGTCAATGGGTGTCAGCATGTGATTTTCATTAAATGTTTTTTATATATGTATTTTAAATTTAAATATGGCATCATGAAATGTGTGTTATTGAATGCAAATTTGTCATAGCTTCTTGCATGCCCAACGCAGTAAATCATTTAATTTGGCGGAAAATTGAAATTAGTTTGCACCAAAAACTATTTTGTCCATCAAATTAGACCCATTTCAAAATAAATATTTGCTTCGAAAATTAAAGTTATCATGATAAATGTTAAACAAAAAAAATCGTTTTGCATTTCAATGTGATTTCATTACAAACCGAATTGATTGTTCAAAATTAACTCGTTTTTAAATTAAAAGCATTCCCCGATGTGTGTCATCCACCATTTGTTTCAACTCCACGTATGTCGCACACATCGATTGATGGCAGAGAAACGTAAAAAAAAAATCAACCATCCAATTTTTCACCGCTGACTGAAAATGACATGAAAAAGTATTTTGGTTTTGTCAATTGATCTGTGTTTTATCCAATTTTAATTAACACATATTCGGCATCGTTTGCAATTTTATATTTATTTTTCGACCAACATTCGAATGTGACAATTACTTTTTTTTTTCAACCCGAATCTTTTGGTCAACCATTTTGCTCCATTATTATTTATACATTCCATTTCATATCTCATATCTTTTACACATCCATAGCTTTGGATCTGAATCAAATTTCATTTCACATTGCCAATTTATATAATCGCCGCGAAAAGTCTCGTTATTTTTTTGATGTGATGCAGGATTTTTTCGTTTTTATAAACAAATACGTTGGGTAATCCCTTCGCACCCATTTCATTGAGTATTTCAAATGACATTCCAATCGACAGTACGTGGCGATTTGTGTTTCATTATTATGCATCCATGCAAATGAGATTCTTGTAGCATATTTATTAGTATAATAACGACAAATAGAATGGGTTGAATAAACGCGAAATCGATATCGATATCGATATTTGTTGTAACGATTTCAATCGTTTTCAACGTTTTTCAGAGAGGATATAAAAGTGTTGAAACACTAAGCCTAACACAATGTGATTTCTTGCAGGTAGAAATTTTTTTATAAGCCCAAAACCAAAACCATATCAATTGTAATCCGCCCGAATTGGTTGTATTTATACTGATAATCTCGACTTTCAACATATATCTCAAGTTGTTTTTTTTTTTAATTTGCCAATGGCGTAATTCAGACTCATGAGAATACATGTGTGTTCGTCTCCCAGTGCACAGTCTTGATCAAAAGTGATGATGGCGAATATGTAATGTCTATCTTACAAATCTCTTACGTATGTATACTTTACATATTACTTGCTCTTACTTATCGGTATCTTCGAATGTTTGTTTAGCCATAAATATCTTCATATTTGTTGCTTTAACATTTTCGAATCGAGTTGAATTGGAGCCATGGTAAAATGTTTGCGCGGGTGGACAGACTAGACAAGAGTGGATGAAAGTCACCATGTTTTTTTATGTATATATGAATGAAACTACCAACACGAATTTTCCGCAAATACATTGGTTTGAATAAAAAAGAATACAAAATATGATATTCGGAAATATTCACTTATGTAACTGGTGCTTTTTGTTTGATGGCGTCAAACCTGTTATAGGCACTGCAGAGATGCGGGAATTCTTTTTTTGCAAAAGCTGTCCTTTCCTTTATTCAAGTTTCGGCACATGGAAAATAATATGGAATGAGTGCGGGCGCTCACTTATTCTACACTTATCCGGGGCCAATAACAGCCCTGGACGGCATACAAATATACAATCCACAAAATTGATAATGTTTTTAAATAAATGGCCCAAATTAGAGTGAATTTCGTTTCGATTGCAGCCAAACTAGTTTCGTTCAATTTTTCTTTTCTCGGACGATCCTCGACTCTTGTTAGTTACTCAGCTAAAATGTAACATTATGTGTCAAACGTGCTTTTCAAGCAATTCTAGTGCTTTTCACCCTCAGATGAAAATTCTAAATTCACGCTGAAAAAAAAAGAATCCGTCGACAAAGACAAAGACAAAATACCAACGCAAACTTATGAGCGTACAAAGTCATGCGGAAATGCGGAATGGAAACAGTAAATACTTAATGGTGGCAAAACGACATATCATTCATCCAACATCAGCGGCATCGATATTTCTACTTTGTACAACACACTATGTGTATATATGCACACATAAAAGCCACAAGCATATATGAACGGGCTTCTATATTTTCGAAACAGATCTTGATAGTATATATTTGACGGGCCCAAAGTTGAAAACAAAAAATATAAATACAAAATACTATAAGATATATTGGCTTTTAAGCAGAAAACGACTACCACCACAACAAACATCCGAGCAAATCGTGTCAGTTAGAGAGCGAGGAGGCGCACCAAAAGTGGAGGCCTGAGTGTGAAAAATGTAGCGTTTTGGTTTTCGTTGCAAATCTGTATATAGAATTTTCAGTGATTGTTAAAGCTGCGATTGCTTTCAGCGTCATAACCAGCAACAACAATATAATAATAACATCCAGCATCACTGTAATAGCTTTGCCAATCGCAAATTATTAATGGTATTTTTTTTCATCTTTGTGTCGGTTATTGTATTCAATGTGTAAACACACCTCGAAGAACTTGGCGTTTCTCATGTTCAATTTTCATGGAATTATTTGTAACTGTTCTCGAATGCCTGTTAGCCATTCTTGTGCAAGCAATCCAAACAATTTTCGCTACAAATGAATGAAATAAAAATGATAAGCGAAAATCCTAGAGCAAAAATTGAAATAATACAAATGGATGAGAATGGATGATAGAATGCGAACGATGGTTTGGGTAAAAGTGTACACATTTTCCGAAGAAATGAATGTTCATGCGGTTCATTTGGAAAAAATAATATTGAATTATGCTATTAGAAAATATTTTACGTGATGTTTATATTAATCAATATCGTTCGTTCATTGAAAGCTATGCGTAAAAATACAGTAATTTTTCATTCGTTCATTTACACCAAATGCGTATCTGTCTCTATGCTTCATTCTAGATTATCTATTTCAAGTGTGTTGTCAATTTGGCTACTTCGAAGACAAAACAGCTGCACAACACCACAAGGAAATAAAAATAAATAAAGAAATAATAATGATGCCAAAGAAAATGAAGAAAGTATATGTATAGTGCCTACATATGACTGAGTAAACATTGTTTTTTTCCATAAAACGCCACTTCAAACATGTATCGAGCGTCAGCCATTGAGAGCATTCATCGATAAAAAATTTGTTGGATAAAATTGAATTAATTTCTATAAGACTAGAATATTTACACACTCTCGGTGCCTCTTCGCATTCTTTTTGTCCCATTTGGTTTTTACTCTTCTTTGACCATATTTATCTCTCCCTCTCCCTTTACTTCTGTCGGCTGTTTTTTTTTCAATTTGGTTCTATTTGTTCTATCCAACATTTTAACATTAAGCATACCTTTACCAAAAAAAGTATATCAATTTAAAATTCTAATTTACGACGCGAAAAGTCTCTTTTTACACCTTCTGCGTTATAAAGAGCTTGCTGGCTACGCGAAACGGCTGCCAGAAAAAACGCAAATGAAAGCGAAAACATAAAAAAAAATCGTGGCCAAAACTGTGCTACGTCGAAACAGACATGAAATAATGCAGGCAATTTCAACATGTAGCTTCAATTGAACGAAGAAAAACAAAAATAAAAAAAATGCGCCAATGAAAAGATAAGAGAAAAACCGAATTCAATGAAAATTTACGAAAAAGACGAACAAACAACAACAACAAAATGCTTTGATCCCGACCAACTCCCCGTTAACAGCTGTGAACGGATGAACACTAAACATTAGATATAGGTATTTTAAAGGTTCGACGTTCGGTTTTTTTGTACGTGCTTTTATCGCGCGTATATTTGAAATAGAAACTGGAACGACATATATTAACGTTGAACGGTGAAAGGAGCAAAATTGAAACCGTTTCTTTTCTAATTTTTTTCCTTTCTATTTTCCACGAAAAATTCCACTCATTGGCATTTTATCCGATCGATAAAATTTACTTTTCACGCAGAGTATAGTGTTTTATTCAACCGTTTATAATTTTTTTCTACAAGATTTCTAATTCATTTATCACACTCGCCGATGTATATGTATGTCCTGCCCATGAGGTATCATTCTCATTGTAAATCGTATTTCCCTCGTCGTTTTCTATACTGAGTTCAAAATTGTGGGAAATTATGTTAGAATTACGTTCATTTTAAAGTGCTTGAACCGAGATGTACATTTGCCACAAAGTAAGCTCTTTTTTGTCTTAAGAATAGATTTAAACCATTGTGGTTGGCCCTTTGCAAATAAAATTTCATTAAAAGTGACATAAAATAATATATGAGCTTTTGATGGAATAAAGATAATGCCAGGGCATGATGAAAAAAAAAAACGTAAAAGAGGAAGAATAATTAAATGCACTTAATCGACGATTTGTGATATGACCTTATTCGGATCATTGGGCACATCGGTGGTGCATCATTTGAGCTCTGTACCGGAAAATCTCTGGCAAATGTAATCATATC